TTCTATTTCATATATTCTTGATGGATTCAAGGAAAAATTATTAGGAAATCATAGTTTCATCAAAAGTCTACATGAAAATGAATTCTCAGTTTATAGTTGTACATTAATTTACTTTCACTTTGACTTTAGAGTCAGAATTGCTTGTTATTTGAATGTAATTACTAACAGCGTCTGACATTAAATTGTCCGCGGAGGTATGTCTAGAATTTCAATTAGAAATTTATTTTTCTGAGTGAAGATGATGAGGACAATTCTTGATCGAAGGAAGTTTATTGAACAGTCATTAATTGAATTCACTTTTGCTGTTTATCTTTCAAAATATGATGTCTTTTATAAACCCGTAGGGTTTACCATAGCTTAGGAAGCTGAAATGAATCGTTCATTGTATATAATTATAGATTTTTATCTGAATGTATGACATATCTGTCCTCATTGGAGACATCTGAGTAACTGTCACTATATAATTTGTGGTTGATAGTCGATTTTACAGAAGCGCCACATATTTTTTCACTTGTTTCTTTAAAATCCTGACTTTTGAACTCGAAATCACGACTTTAACCTAGAAATTTCGTGTTTAAAGCCCAATTTCGAGATTGAAATCGAACTTTAAAAAAAAAAAGGTAAAACTGGTATCTCTGGCGTAGAATAAATCTGAAAAAAGCACTTTGCCCAAACACCAGAATTGCATACTCTTCTCGAAGCGCGTTTCACCAACCAAGATATGACAGTACTTGTTTTGCATTTCGAGTTAAAAAGTTGGAATTCCCAAGAAACAAATAATAAATACATGTGTTTCTTTTGCGCTTTCTTACGAATTCGATTCACTGTCTTCAGTGTTAATGTTATCTCTTGAGTTAAAACTGCTTTTTCTTCATAATCCTGCTGCATACTTCAATAATTTTTCAAAACAATTTTTTGAATAATAACGTTGTTGGTGAACGGTGAAAGTTATTTTTCAGGATTGATTGTTCTTTACCTATGAAAACTTGTACTCTTCATCATCAAAGTTTCATTTAAATAACTTATTTAAGATATTTAAGGGAATATGTTGTCTTGATTTTTTGTGCATGGATCAGGTATGAAGATAAATCAAGTGATATAGATTATAAATGATATTTTTAGCATTTTTAACACAAGGCTATGGATTTTTATAGCAGTTGCTTTCTTCTTGTTGACAAAATTAATATGCTATGAAACCTCACTAGTTCAATGCTCAATGCGCCAACTTCATTTGAACATACTATATTGAAGACATTTTTCTTTTCATGAAATTAACATTTGTGAATAATTCGATGTGAAATCACATCGAAATATTATTTTTCTTCAATCGAATGAAGGGTTTCATACTTTTGAATGCACGCCTCTGATCATAATCCGCAGGCGCTGACTTTTGAGGTTTCTTCCCAGAATTTATAAATTGAATTTGACTAAAGAAACCTGATGACTGTTTCTTTGTATATGTCGATTCAGCATTTATTTTGTAATAGTAGCCTCTTGCACAAGAGAAATGAAAGAGAAAGATTACTTCTCTAGAAGAATATTTCAAACAATATTTTCTTTTCTGTTTCGAAACAATTCAGCTCAGAAATTTCACATGTGAGGATTATTCTGGACAATTTTCTACGTCATTATTTCTAACGATTACAGTATTTGCTTGTAACTGTTTACAGACGTAGTGGATGTGGATTTTGATGACATTTTAATATTCATGTAATCATGTATAAATTACTGGTGATTTATTGAAAATTATTTTTGTCAACGCTGTGGAACTGTCGAGTTCTTTAATACTCACGTTATTACTTATATGTGGTACTTTTTTTTCAGCTTATTTACAAATTGCTTTCGAAACTTTGCAATGAAAGTACATAAAAAATAAATCGCTACAAGCACATATTTTCACTAGTCCTTGATTATTGATTTGACAAACATATTTAAGGAAAACTCTGGGATAGGAAAACTTTCATTTTTAAAAAGTTGGCAACCTCAATTTCTGAAATTTAACTAGCAAAGCAGCTACTCCTTGATTTACCTAAATACCTTATGCAATATACAATTTTCAGAACTTACAGATATAACTCGTATTCACTCGTATTCACATTAAACACAATTCAGTAAAATTGCGGTGTAATCTTTCACGATTAGGCGAAAATAAAACTTACTGAAGCCGAACGAAACAATGTTTAAATGATGATTATATTTGGAAATAGAAATCTTCGCATGAAGGAGAATTTCCTCCAATGAACTTAATCCATAATCCTCCACTCGCATCATCGAATCGAAAACAAACTGCAAATTCTAACATGTGCAAGATGTCTGACGTATTCAAAAAACACTTTATTGTGAGATTTCCACTAAACGATTTTACGAAAACGCAACACGTGTTTCGCCATATAATGGCTTCTTCGGGTGGGTCTAATAAAAAAACATAGTTTATAACTAACCTTCGATATTTATTGTTAACATGCAATCACTTCATCCATCATTATTTTATAAATCATAACATGTTCAAATGAAATTATTCGATTACAAAGTCCTTCTGAAGACTGAGTCATAAAAATCAACCAAAGGTTATGTTTTACGAAATATACGTGGAAATTCTAACAGAATCTAATGGTTATTTATTCAAGAAACAAATTGTAATGAATTAAAGAATCAACTGTCTTGAGCAAATTTATTTTTAACAATATTTCACTTTCACAACTAATTTATGTACAACACTAACGCTTAATTTATCTTTACAGTTCGATTTATTTCGAACGCACGATTCACTTTCTAGGTACAGACTGACTCCCTCTAGGGACGGGAGGCCGGCTTTATATAGCGGCAACGATCACTGCAGATCTCTCTCGTCTTCTCGGCACTCATCTAGAATTGTCGTTGCGGTTTGTCGATCGCAGTGTGGATGAGATAACGGCCAGGGCCGGCTTCAGATTAATTACAATATTGTGAGATTTTTACTAAACAGTTTTATGAAAACGCAAAACGTGTTTCTTCTTCATAGGCTCTTCACCATAGGTTTTTCTAAAATTTTTCTTTATTACTTGTTCTAAATGGCCACATGTCGTGATAGATGACTGTAAGAACATGATATATAAAGAGAAAATTCGTTATGTTGAGGGTTTTTCATCATATGACCACTTTACTGTTGAGAACTTCCAAATGGCAATACTGATTTAATGCAGAAATGCAGAAAAGTTATTTTATAGAAATCTCAATAATATTTATAACGGACATTAAAAGGTGTCGATTCAAAACAGTTGAAGGTTTTTCTTCACTAATCAGTTATTTCTTCATAAGTTTATTCAAGAAAGTAATGCCGTTGCTGACATTTTTTTTAGAAGCTTTAAAAAATCATTCCTTCAGCATCGATAGCGAACTCAATAGACATGAGGGACGTTTACAGATCAACTATCGATTAGTCGTTGCTGAGACTACGACTTCGTCCTCACAGTCAAGGCATATACCACTAATGGTGCCTCCCGCAGTTGCAGACAAAACGTTTGGTTCTTCAAGCCCTATTGTACCAGGGCCTATCAGCTCGGATTTTGTTCTCTCTGATAATAATATATTGTTTGACGTCTTTCACACACGAAAAGCTTCAGCCTCAATTGAAAGCAGAAGAAGATACATATCGAATTGTTATGCAGCGAAAGTACAATAGATAGTTCAAATCCTACCACGCCTATATTTGAAAAGTGTAGATAGCTAGAAATATAATGTTGAATTGCCTAAAGTAATAAAATATCTACAGTTCATTTAAGATATGAACTGTCTCAATCTCAGAAAATTTTTCCTTATTCGTTTCAAATGATCAATATTGTATGGATTCTGGAAGGTATTTGTTTCATTCAACTGCTGGAAAGGTGGTGAATATGCAACATTATATTAAAAAAAGTAAAAAATATTGTTGAAAATGAAACTGAAATTACCATAGTGTCAACCACCTTCAAACAAACGTGAAATTACCATGGTGTATCTACTGAAATTTTCTAGAAATGAACACATCAATCAGTATAGTTATTCATTTGAAAACATTTTTCAAACATTATCTCTCTTACTTAGGTTAGACAGAATGTTTTGTTAAAATCTTCTTTCAATAGATATTAGTTATTATTTATTCATCAGGTATATTTAGAATATATATCAGACATGATTTCTTTCATGCGGTGATAAATCAGCCTTGCAGTCATTTTGTGGTTTAGAGCACTCGCATATAACTTGATAATAATAATGACAATAATTCTTCATTTCCTGATACTTAAATAAAAGTATGGAAATGGTCACAAAATGAAAAGAAGAAGATTAAAATTCCACAATGGATCATACGTATGGTATTGAATATCACAGTAGACTTATGAGGTGTGAAATGAGTAGTACAGGTAATCTGAAATAGAGAATATCTATGATTCCCAATTCGACGGGTAATATTCACCTGAAGAGTAAAATGATGTTTCATACAATACATCTTTTACATTATTCTTGAAAGAGTTAGGAATTGATATATTTTCAATGCATAGCGGTACTTTCTCTAAACTGAGAAATTTTAGAATTTTGTTTGTAACAATCATTAATGCTCGATTCTCTGGTAATTCTTCCAGTGAAGCAGGACAATAGATATAGGAAACTGTCAGATTTCATCAGTTCAAAACAGATATCCAGTATAACTTCCCGTGAATATTTAAACAGTATATAATTCATTAAGTAAGAAGTGCATGGAACTGTTTCCCCTACCTTCAATCATATTATTTTCATAAAATCTTGAAAACATCCTGAATTTGCACACCCTATTAAAAACCCGTCAAATTTGTTCAATTGGTTACCTCTATTACGTATCGGTTTGCATTTTCGTATAAAGAAAAATTTCATAGTATCTTCTAGGAATACTGCCTTCTACGCCTCTGCTTTTAAAACCCGACCTTTGTCTTTCACCGAGATACGCTCTTTGCGCTCCAGTGAATCAACCGCAGTGTCATCAACTTACTTTCTTTTGTTTGTTTCAGTTGACGTTCTGGTGGATGGAAAGCCAACCAGGGTAGAGCTCTGTGATACAGCTGGAGAGGTAATTTAACGCTTATTTCTTACTTATTGTTTAGCTTCAATCGATGCTTTTTGCTTTACATTTTGTAAGAAAGAGTTCAATAAAAATTTAGTCTTCTATGCCTGACCCACCCCCGTATTCCCCTTATCTACAAGAAACATTCCGTTCAAGTAAAAACTCCCAATAGACAAATTTTGGAGGCTTATTTTTATAGTTTGTACTTTAGTTTGTACAGTACATTAGGGCTAGTACTAGAGTGCCACCAAGATTTAGCCAAAGCCTCGGTAGATAATAACATTATCCTGAGGTGGGTTAAAGGGCACAACAGGAGCAAAGGTAATCGCATTGCCGACTCTTTAGCCAAGGAAGCGGCTGGACTAAGAATTTTAGGACCCAGTGGCACCCACGGCTTGATAACTTCGACAATTGCGGAACTAGTCAAATGTTACACCCATGCTCAATCCTTAAAGAGATGGGATGAAATCAAAGGATGTAATCTTGCCAGGATCACCTTGGGTGACCCTGGGAAGCTGGCGCCGAAGAAATATCTGGCGATGACCAAGAAAAATCTACGCCTTACAGTAGGATTTCTGACTGGCCACTGTCAGCTAAGGAAATACCTACATGATATGGGGCTAGTGGACACACCTCTATGCAGGATGTGTGAACAGGAAGATGAGACTGTTAGGCATGTCCTGTGCGAGTGCCCGGAGTTATGATCAATAAGAGAGTGTGTGTTCGGCAAGTCTTGGCCTACACCAGCCGATATAAAGGAGATGTCTCCCAGCGACCTTTCCACCTTCCTGGAAAGGACAGGATGGACGATGACCTAGGAGGACAACTCCTCGGGAGGATGTACAATGGGTCACATGTGGCGTGGGTGCATGGGCTTACACTCACCCTCCCTACTCTACAGACAGAACGTTAATTACAAATAAAAGTGTTAAAAAAACATAGAAAGTTTCATTTCTCTTTTCTTCATTATGCTTTCGTACCACGTAGTAACGGCTACATCCATCAATTTATTGAAAACTATCAAGATTTGACAGTTAATACTCTTTAAAAATTTATTTCTGCTGCATTCTTGACTATAAAGATATGGGTGCAATTTTTGGGTTCTTGTATCATCTCCCATTTGCAGTAAGAGCTGCAATCATTTCAATTCGGCGAGCGATGCCGAAGTTTCGCTTTACAATGAAGTGCCATTGGATGTTTCGTTTGTTTTTGATATTTGTGTTTGGAATTTTCTGTAGATCCCATAGATTACGTATAAGTAAGGAAAGTCATCAGTACCAGTACTAACTCAGGGTTGTTCCAGAAAGAAGATCGAAATAGCGCTGTCTGGTTTTGCCTTCGAGTCCCGGTGTCATCTAGTTGCTAGCTTGCAAAACTAGCAACTAGGAGTAATAATCTGATCTAATATTTATATTCCTGGACCAGGAATCCTGGTTTGAGTTTCCTGGAAATCTCAATTACAATCTGTCAATTATAAAGGTGTGTTGAAAATCGTGTGTTGAAGCAAAATAAATTAGCGAATAAATCTCATCCCAATTTCCTTAAAAAAACTACTCATGTAGACTCCATACAGAAGTTTCCTAAGTGAAGCAACTGTTCCAAAAATCATTTTGTTTAGTAATTCAACTAAAAGAGTGCAATATACAGAGATACGGTTAGTGGAATGTGACCAAAAGTAGGTTTGTTCTGGTTCTAACATCCGAAACTGTTTGGGAACTGCGCAAGACATGATGCGTACAATCAAATTTCAAACACTCTGAAATAGTCTCGGACACTTCGTTAAACCAGAACCCAATTTGAGAAGACCACTGTGCCACCTATCGTATATATGAGGAGACGAAGACAAGAAGATACTGTTGATCATGTCCAATTTGTTATGTAGCGTATCCTTGTAGTCAGTTCAAATGTCATCTAACCTCAATCATCAATTATTCAAATCAAATAAATAAAAAAAACATCCTAGAAAATAGCCCAAATAAATTTTCACATGAATGTAATTCTATCAATATGATCGGACGACGCCGAAGAACTATGTTCTTGATCGTGGGGGTGATTAAAAAAAAAGGTCATCTTTAAACATTATTTCATTTCATTTTTGTAATTGCTTTTTAAAGGTTTATGTTTCAAGTGCACTTTTATATTTTTGATACACTTGGTAGAAACTGCAAAAGTACTTGAGTAGCTATTTCCTTATCTTGGCGTTTTGTTAGCGCCGCCGTATCGAGATAAAAACTGCTACGTAAGTGCTTTATTGAAATGACTTATGTAAATTAAGGATATTACCACATTGTTATAAGGCTGCACGGTGTTATTGTTTCTTTGTTGACAAACGATGTAAGGTGCGGGGATCCAGGAGTATTTCTGAAAACATAATAAACCGAGGAGTCGCCTTAAATAATGATGATTTATTAGTGTAGCTACTACAAAGTCGAACTATTATTAGAGAAGATAACGTTAATTGTGCCCTTCTCACGGCACAATATATCCAGCAGGGTAGTTTGATATATTTAGTTAAACATTTTGTGAACTTTAGATGGTTTTTAAAGAAAAACGCGCCTCTTTCATTTTGAATAGTGCATTACATAGACACTAAAGATCCATCAACTTGTGTTTCAGAAGTCATGAAAGCTATTCTATCATATTTTTTTTCAAGGACAAAACAAGCACTACAGGAAAATCTTTTAGTCGTTCTTAGAGCGGTGCCTGTACCATGGCTGCATATATTCCCTTTTCAATGAAACAAACTTCTAACGGAAAACCTTGGTTCAACAAAATTTGCGAGCAAGTTATCACCTCCAAAAATCTCGTCGTCCAGCAGTGGCGCAAAAATCCCAGTGGCGCAAAAATCCCAGTGTCAAAAACCCTACTATGTTTGTTGATGCTCGCATTTACTGCAAACTTAGGATAATTGAAAGCAAATAACTTCATAATCAAAGAATTAGGGATAAACTGTTTGCCAATCCTATTGGGTCGAGACCCTTCTAGTCGGGAGCTAAAGCTGCTAATCATTTCTTAACAAAATCCACAATCCCACCACTAACGCGAACGGATGGTTCAATTGCAACAACAGCCATAGAAAAAGCAAAGAAAAAGCTAATCTACTATTCACAATGCCGGAAATTACTGTTCGGCAACGTCTACTCAGGTGGATTTTGAAACAGCTCAATCTCAATAAGGCGTCCGTACCTGATAAAGTCCGTCATCGTTCTTAAATAGTGCGCAAATGAACTCGCACCAGAATTCTGCAGACTTTTCAATCTGTAAGAAAGGGGAAGATAGCTCGCGTTCAGCCTATTCCCAAAAAGGGCAAGAAAAGTCTTCCAAATAACAATAGACCAGTCGCTTTGTTATCAGTGATATCAAAAATCATGAAGAAAGCCGCAAACCACCCATATCCTTAAATATTTGAAAGGCTTTAACATCTTGAGCGATCATCAATATGGCTTTCGAAAACAAAAATCAACAGGCGATCTTTTATCGTATGTCACCCATACTTGGAATAACGCAATCGAAAAACATGGAGAGTCAAGAGCTGTTGCGCTTGATATTTCTAAGGCGTTTGACCATGTGTTGCATGAGACTTTGCTGGCCAAACTTCGATGCTTTGGCTTGTCGGATCATTTTTGTGTTTGGCTCTTCAGCTTCCTGATAGAACGTTCCCTGCAAGTGGCCATCGATGGATATCTCTCGAATACTTTTACCATCAACGCTGGCGTTTCCCAGGGATCCATATTGCCTCCAACCTTCCTTTTATTGTATGTCAACGACATAATCGAAAAAACCAAGAATCCAATATATTGCTTTGCTGATATTGCATATCTTAATGAGGATCTAGAAGTGATTTCGAATTGGGGTGAAAGTAACCAGGTTCAATTCTATGCCAATCCAGGCATCGGTTTTCTCCAAAATGATAAATGTCTGCGATCCAGATATAATAATGTCAGATCAGACAATTCCGCTTTCTGCTTCGATAAGTTTGTGGGGGGTTAAAATGGACAGCAATATATCTTGGCACAATCATGTCGGTGGAATTGCAATGGCTACTTCTCAAAAGCTTGGAACACTGTTCCGAATCAGAAAATTGTACACACCTCGGCAACTTTTGATGCTTTATAAAGCTCAGTTCAGAACTTCTTTGAAGTATTGTTCTCATATATGGAGCTCCTCTCCTAAGCATACCCTGAAGCTGCTGGTTTCCATCCAGAAATGAACCATCCGTTTGATTGGAGACGCAAATATCACTTGCAACCTGATAGTCTGGAACATCGAAGAAAGGTTGGGGATTTGTCTCTCTTTCGTAGATACTTTCACGGGAAGTGTTCAAGTGATTTGGCACATTTGAGCGGTATATATTAGAAATACGCGACGGACTGTGGCTACTCATCGTTTTGACGTTCAACTCAGTACATCTCGAACTTCACTGTTCAAGTGGAATAAACTTTCTGAGAACATTTTTCCAAATGGATTTAATCTCCAGCGATTCAAATCCAATGTGAATCGCTACTTACGCATAGTCACCGCTCTTAGAACGTCTTGAGGATTTTCATGTAGTACTTGTGTTTTGTCCAAAAACGAACAAAACTTTTTGATTGGCTAATGTTTGAAAACAACATATTAGATAGGAACGAAATATTTTGACTTTATAGTTTCCCAAAAATTATTCTTTCCTAAAAATATGCCCCTTTACATTTGAACATATTATTAGACATTGAGAAACTCATGTGAATGATTTAACGTCGAAATCAGTGATGTTTTGAGATATCTCATTTGACACATATGTTGAAAAGAGAGGTAATTGGTGAAATTGAATGTATTTTTCCAAAATCTGAGTTTTCTGAAAAGCAAAAATTGAGGCTTTTGTATCGTATAACCATCCAAAATGCCATAAAAAATAACTCGCAAGTCCAAGTGAAGGTAAGACTCCATATACTTTCGTTTGTTTATTTTTTACGATTGACAATTCTTCCAAAGAACTTTTGAATAATCCAAAAATGTGTTACTAAGTC